GTTGTTCTATAGCGGCATCCCCCGCCACGCCCCCAGGAGCAATCCCTCTCAGTGTTCCCTGTGGCTTTTGTGGTTTGTTGCCTGGAACCAGTCTATCAGGAAAACCACATGTTAAAGTAAAGGCGATTAAATCTAATGTACACTGATACTGAACATGAGTTTTCTTTTGTCCTTTAGTCTGGTTGTGTGTGTTTTATATACTCATCCTACTTTTTCAGACAGTAAGGAATTCAAATATGAAATAATCTAAAAATCAATTAAAGATTGAAGTAGAATTGTATAATATAAAATCCCCAAGAGGAAAATGGACTAGAAAGTTCACTATATTAAGCCCTGCAAGTTATATTATTGAAGTTATTGAAAGTTTTGGTTTTAAGTCAAAACTTTAAGTTCTGCTAATTCATTTTGAGAGTGAGACCTAAGAATTCATACTATGGACATTTTAATGACTTTCACGGCCTGATGTTTACTAAATTGAATTTATCACTGTTTAAAGACCCTGTAGAAACCCTGGAGGTTCAAACTAAATCAAGCCAAAAAAAAAAAAACAACACACAAAATACACACACACAATATAAAGAAGTCAAAAACTGAATATGAAATCGAGATAACATTGTATTCTTGGTACTGACCCCTGTCCGCCTGCGTTGTTTTCCCTTATGCAAATGTGCTCTTTCGTCACCACTGCAACAGTGGATAAAACAGCAAAGGTGCGCAGAGAGAGAAGTAGACACCACCAGCTGTGTGAGGGAGGATACCACCAACACAGTCACACTCATCCATACAAGCTAATAGAGGAAAGGCGGGTCTTGTTTCATTCAGATTTCAAGGCAGCGGCATTTGCTTTTTCATCATCACTATGAACTTCGCTGCTCTTGTGGTAAGTACTCCAAAACGTTTTTCACTGTAGACTAAAAACTTTGTACCAGTCTAAGAATTTGAGTGATTTTATGAGGCTTTTTGTTTATGTACCTTAGTGTTCATGCCTGCAAATACTTGAAGGGTGAGAATGTTAGACTGTATGTCTTCTGCTTCCAAAGAGAGATCAGATGTCCTGATCCTGACTGGTCAAGTAGCAGTGAGTTGGCCCAACAGGACACCTAAGTGTCATACTGTGCAAGGCCTGAAAATAACTTAAAAATGTCTTCCAAGAATAATTTTGACTGAATTCATTAAACAAAACAAAACTTAAAACTTATTGCATATATAAAAGCAGGTAGAATGAGAAGATTTTTTTCAAAACAATATGATTAACGTTTTTAAAGATTATTATTTGGCTTTTTTTATTTGGTAGTTGCTAGTGAAGACAGGAAAAGAAAGAAAACAGAAATTTGGAATGCAGCCAAGAGGAACATGATCTCAGAAAGTTATCTGCTAGTTATTTAGCTGTTTTTTTTTTGTGAAAGTGAAAGACTGATGATGTGACTCTAAAATATATCAATATCTATATTGTGTTTCCAGCTCTTACTTGTACTAACGGGGACAGCGTGCAGCAGCCCGGTCTGTCCAGAGCACTGCAAAGACACTGACATATATGCAGAGCCACGCTTCCAACATGTGTCAGACCTCCAACACACTTCCATTGCACCCTGGAACCTGACGTGAGTTTTCTCTGTGTTGGTCAGGAAATAGTAGAGGAAGAGAACATCTTACTCAAATACAATTAAACAATTAAACTTACTTTGTTGGAGCTTTTCTTCACTAATTGAACAAATAGTGATGTATAAATGAATAAAAGTTAAAACAGCTCTTTTATTTTATGCTGATGTCCCAAGGTTTCCAACCAGACTGAAGGTTGCATTATGCTCAAACAGAACTGGTTTGAACAAAGTGTTGTTGGAAATTAATAATATAATTATATATTATATGATAATAAAAAAACTCTAAGAGATAATTAAAAGCTGTGAACAGGTATGTTTTCAGTTGTCATTCAGAATATTTAGAAGATCTGCTGTAGAGCATCTCATGGAGGGACACTTCATCAGTGTTGTAAGAGGTTGCCAAACCATTAAGAGCTTTGTATACAAGTATACGGACTTTAAAATCAATTCTAAAGGATACAGGGAGCAAGTGTAGTGTAGCCAGTACAGGAGTAATGTGCGCTCTCCAGAGTTCTGAATTAGGTGTAGTTTCTCGTTTGACTTTTTTTGGAAGACCAGTCCAAACCAGCTGTTTTGGTTACTTTAATTATGTGGAATTTGAAACTTAGATCAGAGTCTAAAGCTACTCCTAGACTTGTTACTTCCATTTTATTCTGCTGGTTTTAAGTGTCCGTGCCTGGTAGAAAATGCATCTCTTTTGACGTAGGCGCCAGCCAACAGTATTACTGTCTCATCCGTTGAGTGACTGCAGACAGGCAGGTCGTCAGAGACGTTAATTTACAGATAGTCTCTCCGGCAGGTGTCTCAGGCATTCATAATGTTGCACTTGGCTGTTCACATGGAAAGTGACAGTAACATCACTTCACCTTTCTGATGTTGAAACAGGATGAGTCTGTGTCAGATGTAAAGTCAGGGTTACCAAAATCATTATAATTAATAATGTAGCTAAAAAATGTAGTTGCAGACTTGCAGGGGAATTTGTCTAAAATAATACAGAACAAATCAGTAGTTGATGCAACTGTTGTGGAACAAGCAAATGTATTAAAGCTGAAATCCATAATTTTCATCGTTTGTTTGCCTCTCTTGCTTCCACATATGCCTCCATTTATTCATTGACATGTTTTTCCCCCTTTTTTTCAGTGAGAATTATGAACAAGGTAGAGAACCCTATGCCATTACCCATGCTGTGTGCAAGGACTGCAATGTGACGGGCATGATCGCCAGGCCCATCTACCTCCGGATTTACGTCTACCAGAGGAGGCGGAACCATGTGGCAGGCAATGGTGATGTCTGGTGCAGGTGTCCATACAACCTTGCTGTCGGATGTACGTGTGTCACTAAATAGTGACAATGACCACAGGACATCAGAACAAGTCATAGTTTCTGATGTCGTAGCATCTGTTTTATCTGTAGGAAGACTAGTTAGATCATGGTGTACCTTTTTCAGTAACCTACATTTTTAGCATCAGTAGACCACTCAGCTTTGGTCTATTTTGGTCAAGCTCTTGAATATACCTCTACTTTTATCCATGTGCATATATCTAATTTGTTTATTTATTTATTGATGGATTATGATTATATACAGTATAGATACAGACAGGTGACAAATTAAAGGAAAAAAATCATGATAAAGTGTCTTAGTTAGACACCACATGCTGCCAGAACAGCTTCAGTGCTCCTTGGCATTGATTCTCTGGATCTCTACTGGAGGGATGGACACCCTTCCTCCAAAAGATATTCCCTCATTTGGTGTTTTGATGATGGTGGTGGAGAGTGCTGTCTAACATGTCGCTCCAAAATCTCACCTGTCACCCGTCTGTATATAATAATTTCACCCTTTGTGATGGGCTAAATATAATTTCGTTGTGGAAACGGTCAAAGCCGCAGTTGTATGTATGTCAGTGACATAATTGAACTCTAGAACATGTTTTTTTTTACATGTGATAAAAATGTAATACTTTGCTGCATTTTTGGCAGTATCCAACACTTCAGAGCGATGTGTTTTCGTGGGGGAAATGCAATTTTCTACATGCTTTGTAAGATGTGATATGCAGCCTATGAATATCACACATATATTACATGTATCATGTAATCTGAAATAACAACAATATAATACGCTCAGAATATTTGTGTTCAAAACAAATGTGAAAATGATTATGCATTATGTGCATTCTAGATTGTTACCATGCTTGTGTTTACTGTACCCTTACTAAAATTTAATAAATTCATGCTAAATCGACATTAGTTGGACTTGTTATATCTATCTTTTAGAAACAATAACATTTGTACCTACCTATACACCAAAACATGGTACTCACCGCCGTCTATGTACTTTTGGTGTGGGACTGTTTCTCATGATCAGAGCTATGCCCTTTAGTTCTAATGAAGAGACCCTAACATTTTGGGGAAGGCACTTTCCTGTTCCAACCCTATCCAACGCCTTTGGGATGATCTGGAACACTGACTAGGAGTCAAGCTTTATTGCCCAACATCAGTTTTAGAGTACTAGTTGGTTTCTGGGTGTCTGAGGGAGTTATGAAAGAGCCACTTACAGTGGAGGTCAATGGGAGCCCAACAAGACATTTTTGCCTCAGGGCCACCTAGGAGTTTGAGACAGCCATGCTTTCGGAATGTTAGTATTATTCTTAGTACAAGGCTGCAACCAGCAATTATGATCATTATATTTTTAGTAATCAATTGATTGTTCAGTGTTTAAAATGTCAGAAAGTAGGGGAAATGCCAATCATTCACATATTCACATTACTTTACAGTCAAAAATGTAAAACTGTTGAGTTTACAACCACAGAAAACTGAAAAAAAACTAGCAAACATTCACCTTTGAGAAGCTGGTACTAGGGAACTCGTGGCATTTTTGCTTAAAACAATTATCTGTAGAAGAAGTATTAGGAGATTACACATTGCACCCATGTGTGATCGCTGAACAATATTGGCAATATTTGTTTTCTCCATTCTTTTGGTTTCAATTTTATAACAAATTTTATGACATGAGATATAATTTATTTTCCTATGGTTATTTTCTTGTTTTATATTTGGGGTATTTTACTCAATTTTATTTTGTTTGATTTTATTTTGAACGTCTAATTTTACTTCCTAAATTGCTTATCGTAGTTTTTTTGATAAATAAATAAAATTATTAGTGAAGACCGACGAAGACCATTTTGCACAAAGGTAATATTTTGTCACATTTAAACATGAAAAGGACTTTCAAACTGTTGTCACAAAGCTTCCATCTACATCATTGTCTGAAATATCATAATATGATGTAGCATTACAAATTCCCTTAATTTGAACTAATGGGCGTAACCTAAACTACAGTATCTGGACAGAGTATCGACATCCTTTCCGCCAGTTAGTGCATTTAATTCAATTCGTAAATCCAGCAGGTGGCGACACTAACAGTCACACAGAGATACTTTTATTTCCTGGTCAACGACTCTTCCTTTCCTGTCGGCCATTTGTCGTATACGGTGGGTTTCTGGCGAGCTCTCGTCTTAAAACGTTTAAAATTGCTCATATATCCGCACATAGCCGTTTTTTCTTTGAGGTTCGTCAAAGTTAATGTTACTGTGTGACTGAAGGTTGTGTGTCGATGGTGTTTATCGCAGAAATTGTGCGTAAATAACAGACGTTTGTCGAGTAGTGTGAGCAGCCACATGCGGCCGTGCTGTGCGCTCCCTATGCTAACTGATGCTAGCTGGCGAACAGCGTTGAGTCACATTCAGAAAAAGTTGCAATTTCTATATCTACAGTGGTAATTTCTGCTGTTTAACGTTGAATTTTATTAAAAAAGACACGTGGCTGTTAAAACTTATTTTTTATATGGGCTAGTTTGTGTGTTAGCAGGGTTACGGTTTCTAGTTAGCATCAGAGACAACGCGTCTGGTCTCCTGATGTCTTTTTAATCTGGTATTTGTCTCCTTCAGATTTGTAGGCGACCACCTATACAACCTTTTAACCATGCAGAACGACGCTGGTGAGTTTGTGGACCTCTACGTCCCACGTAAATGGTGAGTGTCTAAACATTTATATTGGGGTGGAGGATTTTGGGGGAACTGTCTGTGGTTACACAGTGGAAAATACACCTGGCTAGCAAAAGAAAATGTTTTGAGTTTTCCTTGAGGCTCAGTTTGAAAGCTTTGTTTCATGTTGGGAGCAGTGTGACAGTATGAAAGACAGGGTATCTGTAAGTCTTGCAGTCTCAAAGAGTGTTAAATTGACTTTCCTTCAGTGGCCCTGAAAGTTATCATTTTATTTTATTATTAAATCATTATTTTAACCAAGCTATAATGTTATTTAGAAAACTATTTTGGCAGTAGAGCTGAAACATTTCATAATTTTCAATCAAAACTAGTGAAAATGCCAACTATAAAGATTTGCACTTTTTTATATGTCACTTGATTGTAAAGTGAGTATTTGGAGGTTTTTGGGGTTTTTGCACTCGGATTTTCAAAACAAGACATTTGAAGACATCAGCACCACAAGCAAAAATGTTTACTTGCCAAGTATTTATTTGTTTTATGTTTAAGCTTCTTGAATATGAATACAAAGCCTCAGATTGCTGGCTGCCAGTACACTTTATAAACATAGCATTACATTACCAAGAAGCTCAAAATTTCTTAACTGGCAAATGTCAATTTTTGCAAAAAAATTTGAAAAAAAAGAGATTTAAGATCCGTTTAATGCGGCTAATACAGCAGTTTTCTACTGCTGGGTAAGTACGGAAAATTGTGATGTGATTTGATGATAAACTATTAAAATAATGCTTCTGGGATACATCATTATTTAAGATGCATTTAACTGTGTGTTTTAAGTGATTTTAAAAAGGTCTTAAAAAGTCATAAATTAATCTTGGTGGCCCCTGCAGAAACCCTACAATGATGGTGATACTAATAATACTATTTGTGTATTGCAGCTCTGCTAGCAACAGAATCATTGGAGCCAAGGACCATGCCTCCATTCAGATTAACATTGCTGAGGTAAAAATCTTTTCTGTTTAAGAACTTAAGTCTTAGTCACATTAAAGATATGTTCTGCTTTATTTGTGGATGTTACCAGTTGCTAACACATAAAATTTGCAGGCAGTTAGCTTCAACGAGTAAACCACAACAGCCACTATGGGCAGTGAGGTTGAATAGTTGAGGGAAATGCTACTATTGCAGCGTAATGTGAAGTTGGACAGTCATCAAATAAGCTCTGCAACCTGGAAACGGGCTTGAACGGGCTTGAACAGTTTTGTTAGAAACCCACAGACTTGGAACAAAATGTCAGTATGTTGATTCTGTTGGTGTCTGTGAATGTAGTCAGTGAGTTGGCTCAGACAGGATGCTCATTTTGTTGGAGATTTTTGTTATATTTGCCCTGCCATTCACATGCAGCAACTTTTTTTTTTTTTTTAATGAAAATCAAATAGCATGGTTCATGTGTAATCCATCACAGTGAAGATTAAACCTGCATTAATTTGTGTATATGTTACATTGTTGTCTGCTGATTAAGTTGAAATACAGATAGGGGTAAAAGGTCTACACTGAAATACATGCATGCATACAAGCATGCGTTTGTAAATGGTGAAAATGTTATGATGAATTATGATTGGGGGTTAGTAGCTGTAACCCGCCAAACCACTGGTGTCGTACTTTTCAGATATTGGCAGGTTGTCCTGTTTTCAAGTTTTTTTTTTCGAGATGCAAAACTGTTGTGAAGTTTAAGAACTTGAGTATTAACACAAAACAGCTTAAATTAGCAGAAAACCCACAAGTTTCCTGTTTGCAGCAGTTGTTTTGAAGTATAAATGTTGTTCTGTGCTCTGTCCTCTGCAGGTTGACAAGGTGACCGGTCGTTTCAACGGTCAGTTCAAGACCTACGCTATCTGTGGCGCCATCCGCAGAATGGTAAGTTGGAGCTGAATGTCTGTTGTGTTGTACTTTGCCTGCTGCCACACATGGACAGAAAAGTCATCAGGATTATCTTTACTTGGAGACTCATGTAAAATGTTCTAATTATGGGGTGAAGTCATGATTTTAATTATTCATCAATCTGCCCTATCTAGAAAACTGTACTGGTAGATTAAATATGTCAAATCTGGTTTGTCAAATATACTTTTTTCTTTTCACTTCTTTTTTTTTTTTTTTTTTTTTTTTTTTTTTTTTTTTTTTTTGACATAATATCAGTGTACCAAGTGTGCATTAACTTCTATTTTCTTTTTGTCAAGTATTTAACTAGGGTGTGATTTATTCTGGAACCTGCTAATTAATTAATGATAGAAAGTAGTGTTTTAACATAATTTGGAATATTTAGTAATTTCAGATATAATTATTTAAGGACAGAATTAGGCAGGTGTGCAGGGACACTGGTTTTGAGGCTCATACTGATGTGTTTATATATAAAAAAACAATCTTGACATGGACCTCCTAAGATTTATTTTATAATGGTGACACTTTTCTAAATTATCAACCTAGCGACTGGGTTATAAAAAACTTCTCTAATAATTGAAAGGGCTATAATAAGTGCATCATGAGAGCTTTTGAAAATGCAAATCTTAAAACTTCCCTTTCTTTCCCGCATATGTCCAACTTCCCCCACTTATTTCTCAGACTCATCTCTCCTGTTCGTGTATCTCACTCGATGACTTGAGTCACAATGATTGACTGAATAGCATCATGTGCCCAGTACTGTAAAGGCTAGAAAAGCTGGTTAAAACAGAATTGCTCCCTCAGAATTTGACAATTCTCAATAATTTATAGGTTATTGACCCAGATGGAGTCTCAACCCTGTACTCTGTACTGGAAACCTGCATCTGCACGGAGATAACAGATTGTTGTTTTTCCTTCTACAGGGTGAGTCTGATGACTCTATCCTGAGGCTGGCAAAGAATGACACCATTGTCGCAAAGTAAGAACCTGTCCTAAAATTACAGTTGAAGCATGCATGCATAAATACAGGGGTTAATAATCTGTGTATTGTATCCATATGAAATTTAACTGAGTAAATTCAGGCAGGATGTTTATCAGTATAGAATCTGTATCTGCTGAACTGGATTTGGCAACTAAAACCCTTTTCCCTTTCTGGCTGTTGTTTTACAGGACCTTTTGAGTGTGACGCTGGAGCTGTGGGGACTTTGTAAAATAAAATGGAGGAAAAAAAAACTTTTGTTGCCATTGTTGTAATTTCTTAATAACTCTTGAAAGGCATGAACAGGTTATGTGTTCCTTACAGCAAGTATGTCAGTTAACAATCTCAAGTCAGTGGATTGTCATCAGTTTTCAACAGCCTTCCTCTGTTGCACCAAGATGTGGAAGCAGTGGAATAAACTGGTTAACTTTAGGTTTAAAATTGTAAAGATATCCAGATGAGGACAGACTATGTGGTCAGCATTTTCATTTGTTAACTGCCAAGGTATACAGACAAATGCTAAGTTTATTGTTATTATCTTAGAGGGGTTTTTTGTCAGGTCAAAAATGTTTTATCCGAGTCCTGTGTAAAGTCAACATCATCTGTGCATCAAATGTTCTAATGTAAAATTCACCAGTAAGTGCAGGTATTGATACAAAGTACAGTGATAGAAGAAAAGATGCATATGAGAAATATAATGTTAATTTTGATACATGAGATGTTTCTGGATTGTGAACTTAAGTTTCCAATAACTCTAAAAATGTTGATACACAGTGGTTTATTATTGACTATTCACCATGCTGTGTAGGTGATATGTGCTGCTCATGAACTCTAAGTGATAAAGCTGGAGAAAAGATCCAGTTGAGCTTTAAGACAAACTGTATGGTGAGGTTTTACAGAGACACGTTCACGCAGATTAACAATGCAAAAAGGTTAGAAATAGATTACATCTAGTTGGATATGAAACCAAAATTTGTCACAGACTTAACATTTTTACATCACTTCTACAAAATGTGTAACTTAGATGTTCACAGTTCAACATCCAGTTTATGCTTAATGAACCACAACAATTACAGACTACTGGAGGATAAACTGTATTCACATTAGTAACAGAAATCCACCCTCTCTGTAGCTCTTTGTGACCAGCAGGGGGCAGCATGTGACAGGAAATAAAATTTCCTTCAAAACCAGAGAAACCTGTTCATGTTTCCAAAAGGATTGCAAGAAGAAGTGAAAAAGGGGAACTGCTACATCTTCACATTCCTCTCTCTTTTATATATCTTTTGTCGGGCAATATATGTAAAACTTTAAAACTTTTTTTTTTTTTTACTAACAGAAAGAGGTTGTGGCGGCCAATTTCCCCTCAAATTTGTAAAACAGCGCCTCCCGCGGAATACACATCTGCTAATTGTCAGTTTGTGTGATGGAAGAGGGCTTCACTACGAACAGGTGTGAGGTATTTAGTATCAGCATATCATAAATATGCCGCATCAAAAGTGTAATTGGTCTGGAAACTAGCCTCAATCTGACTTTACTCCAGTAATGAAAGTTTCTTTTAAACACAACTGGGAGAGTTGGTTAGTTTTTGCTAATAATGATGGCTACCGGACATGTAAGACTAGACTAGACTAGCTTAGCTTAGCTAGTTAGCGAGTGACAAATAAAGGACAATGGCGACAAACAAACATAAAATAGCAGAAGAAACCTATCTAGTAAGTAAAGTTAGAGTAATCATAATGGTGGTTTTGCACTTTTTAGCCCCTTAGCTAGTTTTGTGGATGTAGCTTGTTTCTCCAAGCAGCCATTTGCTTCCTCTCACGTTTATATGGTTTTAGTTTAAATTCAGTTTGGAAGCAAACTTAGATAAGTCTGTAAACCAGTGCCACGCTTAAACACAATGTAAACACAAATGATTTTGATTGTTTTCAGTGTTTCAGATTCCTCAGATTTTCATACCATTTGTAAATGAATGGAAGCTGTAGTCTGTGGGCAAAACCCTAAACTAAAATCTAAAACTGTACTGCACACGTGAAAACATGATTTGTTAGATGTTACATAGAATAATGTAACTGTCTTTGAAGTTAGGACAATTGACAGAAGACACTTTACTAATCAGCCAAAATATCAATGGAACTCCCTATTGTAAAAGACACTGCTGCTCTGAAGGACCAGCCCTCTTCAAATAAGGTTGGTTTAATGCTCTTTCTGGATACTCTGGTTTTACTAATGGCCATATGTCCGTCTGTAGCTTTGTATGTTAACGTGTTGTGTAGTATGTTGTGATTATGTGAGCATACTGCCTAATTGTACTGGATCTTGTTTTAAGTTCTTTCTCCTAGCTCACCACCGTTAACATTGATGGCTGTACAGTTACAATAACACTAATATTAGACTCCTGCTGCAGGTGGATTTTTACTTTTTTTTTTACTTGTAGTCAAGGTGTGTTATATTTTACTGTCTCTCTGCACCATCTGTCTTTCAAAGAATGAACGAGCAATTGAAATAGAGGTCAAAGTGGGAATAACAGGGCAAGGTGAAGGCATAGGGAGGTTACAGTGGTAATTTAGGCTAAACACAATGTGGAGGAGATGGGCCAGTGGTGTGTGAGATCGGTTTGAGGGCATCTTTAACCTTGCGCAACCTTAATGATAGCTGTCATCAACTGCTGCTTTACGGTGTTGTTCCCATACATTCTCCCTCTTTTTTCACCCTCCGTCAGGTGAGTAGACAGCAGATAAGAAGTATTTCATAATTGTCCTCATCACCTCCTCTCCTTTTCCCTTCAATGGCTTTTTCCCAGAAGGGCTGGTTGGACTGTACACCGAGGTATGTGAATATTTACCTCATCTCCCATGTGCTTCCACTGAAAAACACTCAAAGTGCTCTTACCTTGTTGAGTTCACATATACTGAAATATGACCTGTGACTCTGCTGTTTGCTCACTGAAACATAATAGTTTCTAGTCACCAAATTAGCATCTGACCATGCAGTTTTATAGAATAATGCAAAAGGAAAAAAAAAACAAATTAATGGAAGAAATTGATGCAGCAAAAGCTGCCATTCTAAAGTATGATGCAGATTATGATTTAACCTTTTTAAGAAACCCACACAGCACTGGTTGATCGGTAACTAGCTCTCACCTTCTGAACAGTCCCCCCCCCTTTTCTCTCAGGTGAAATGACAGAGTCCAGTGAATGTGTTCTGCAGTTAAGCCTTTTAGTTACATCATTTCCTGTCGACGGGAAAATTACATGCCCCAAACATGTACTGTGAGAAAAACTCTCATGAGCTGCAGACCCTCCTCGTCTCTCATGTGGTAGGTAACTGTTGCGTGTGGAGACTCAGAGAAAGAAAGAGGCTTGGACATTTTTGTTTTGTTTGTTTTTTTTGTTTTTTTTCAAAAAAGGCTAAAATGCCATATTGAAGTTGAAGTAGGTCAGAATGATGTATAACATGGCTAAATGAGCCCTGTGGGGCTCTAATGCTCTTTACTTTGTAAAACAAAATTGTTGGATGGATAAAGAAAGCTATTCTTAGATTCTTACCACTAATGACCCAGCAACCCTATAAGGATAAGCGGTATGGATGATGGATGGGTGGATGTTATCCCGCACACTGCTCTTGCTCAGAATCACAATTTATTAGATAGATACATACATACTTTATTTATCCCCTAGGGGAAATTCAGGAATTTATATTATTTATAAATATTGATCCTAATGTTTCAGTCTCTCGAGACCTTTGTCAGAAATATCTAAGTATTAAGTATTTAAATACATCTGACAAAGGTCTGGATTGCAGATTTAATGCTTCATTGAAGCTGTAAAGCACATCCCATCCACAATACAGGGCTGTTATTATTTGATGAGATAATTGGCAACTTGGTAACAAGAGGTTTTCCATTCGATATCGCTAAAATTCCAAGACTTTTAAAGCTTAGTTTTTTTTTCAGTTTCCACCACTGGTCTATTTAACAATCTCCTTTAGGAG